CTCCAACTCCAGATAACTATACATTCAACACATAGGTGCAAGGTCTCCCCACTCTGGAAAATAACACAGGCATTCAAGTTCTTGGTGTTTATCCTCATTTCTGAAAAGGGAAGTCCTAATAACAAATTAAACTCCTGTCTAATCTTGGCTGTATTTGGGGTATTCCACTAAAACTGCCATATTGTTTTTCAAGCTCTGTCCCATTATATGTTCATCTCACCTGACTCAAGAAGAACTACACTGATTCTCAATATAGTTTCAAGCAGACTCATTTTTAATGCATAGAATGACAGAAAGCCTCCATATGGCTAAGGCAACATACTTATGAGTACATTACTCCCTGGGGCAACCATTACTCCAATCATTAAGAAAGGCATGCAGCAAAATGGTATCACTTCCTAGCTGAGTACTAGAGAGAATGTTTTTGGTGGTGCCATGGGTGCTTTCCTACCTTTTTTTTTTTCCCTTGCGAGTGGGAAAAAAAAATCCTTGAGGAACACAGACAAACCAGAGAATCCRGGTCCTGGAAGTAACACTAAATAATTACATCCCACCTCACTGTGCAGACCTCTGGAGACAAACTGCACCCAAGAGTTAAGACACTCCCTTTCAGGTGGATGGTGGAACATATACAGATGTGAAGTTTTCAAGTTGTTTCCCCCTCTGAAAAGCCCTGAAGTTTGGGCTCCAAGCTGACTCAATAAAGAAAAAAGAAACATGAATACCACCATTCTTGTTTTCAAACCTCATTCAGTTGTGCTCTGTCCACTAAGAACTCCTGACAGCAGAAAGTTCTGTCACTGGAATGCCATCATGAGATGCCAGCACAATGCCTGGGTGTTAGAGCTACAGAACAGAATAGGCCACAAGGAACTGGTCCTTGTTCACCAAGCAAGATGTTGAAACAAACAGCTGTGGTTTTTTCTTTTCTTTTCTTTTTTAACTAGGCACAGCACACACAAACCTGTCTTCAGCTGCTAACCTTAATATATTACTCATTCTTCCTTTCAAATAACGTCACTTTCAAAACCCCGGTGACTGAAGAATATTTACTTGAGGCTGCTACTGCTGGTTTCTCCAGAGCTATTTATTTTTCCATGCAGGGGCTCATTACATCATTCTGTGGTTTTCTTAAAGGTTGTCACAGTAAGCTGGATACAGGCTGGAAACTCTTGCTAACTAAAACCTAATCACTAAGCAGCACAAATGAATTTGGAGATAACCCAACTCTCAAAGTGTGGAAAACCCCTGGAATTCTCAGTGGAGATAGGGTGCTCCTGAACAACCAACCATTAGATTTTTTGGAAGTGGGAAACGTTATCAAGTGCCTCCCTAGATTAGTTAAAAAATAATCACTTGGACTGTTGCAGGCTGGAATAGGTTGGGGTTGAGGGAAGGTAGCTGAAACAGTAGAAGTGGAATGAAGAGAATGGTCACTGCAACAATCCCATCTGAATCACCTCCTGCTCCACAGTGTCCCAAATGACACATCACAGAGGGCAGTGCCAGATAACTGCCTCAGTTAGCTTAGGGTACCCATGTGTTTAGGGAAGGGGAGAAGCATCAAAAATATTTTTGTCATCTTGCCACAACAATATTGTGTTAATCTAGACTTTTTACTTGCCCCAAAAAGAAAAACTGGATTTGGGACTTGTAGGACTCAAGACAGGCAGGAGATGTAGTTTTTAAGTACTTTTCTGCTGTGCAACAATCCCGATGATTGYATTTTGGTTCCTGCCTCTGGCTGAGAAGGTTTGAACCTGCATCTCACCCTCCTGAGAAAGGGGTGCCATTTAATTCTTTAAGGTTGGCTAGGGTAACAGCACTAGCAATCCTTCCCAGCATTGCTCTTYTGCTGAGCATAGAAAAACTCACTGGCAAAATGCCTTGGAGACATATAGATTCTCATTCAAGTGCTCTAATCACCASGCTGGAGTCATTCTGCTTTTCCTGATCCCTAGCTTAATTAGGATTTACACATGCCAAACAAAATGTAAATGCTCCAAAAAAAGAAGAGATCAGTTTCAGAAGAATGTTTTCTGTTTGTCAACACTAAACAGAAGACAGAACACTCAGATTTCAAATGCAGCACTTATTACACAGGGTGTCACCAGCTCTGCAATGCTCAGCTGCCTAGTGGGTGGCTCAMCTAACACTGATGAGAGACAATGACAGCAAATTATTGGACTTCATATAGCAATTCTTAAATTCTCTTCATGCTTAACATAATGACAGTTCTTACTTTCCAAGATGTCCAGTGTCAGTGCTGCTGAGAGAACACCACACAACCTCTGACAGCAGCATCAGGACCACTCKTCTCTGCAAAGGGCAGGGCCCTATAATCACCACAGGGAGAGACTGGGGCTAAGTGTTTCACTATACGAACTCCAAGGAATAGGATGCAGAAGAAGAGTTAGGCTGGATATTACAAAAAGAAGAAACCTGAGTTTGAATTCAGAGAGCTGAGCAGCTTCCTATGGGAAGAAATAAATTCTTTAGTATCTAAAGCATTTATGGTAGAGAAAATGCTGTTCTTACAGTATAAACATTTACTAGCCCTAAGGCAGTAAATTAGATGACCTACTAAGTATTTTCTCTTTTCTCACTTCCAGTTTCAGTGATCCCATTAAACTGTTGCAAAAGCATACAAGGCTATATCTGCTCCAAGACTGTAAATATAAACTCAGATAGACAACACAGCTGAGGCAACAGCAAACCCAAGAATCCAAACCTTGTGCTAGCAAAATGTACCTTAACCCTTCGAAAAGAAATTAAAAAAATTAGAACTGTGCTAAGCATTAGTATCTCAAGTCGGGCCAAAGGCAATTAAAAACATCGCCCAATTTTGCATGCCCATCTCATGACAGCTGTTTCATCATCCACAGCCAAGAAAGACTCAAAGACACTTGAAGAAACATGATTCTAAACTATAATTATGCCCCCTCTGCAGTTTGATCTCACTGACGGTACATTGCCTTTAACATACATTACAAGGCATGACAAGAATGAAAGATACCAAACAAGGTGACTAGGCTTCATGATTTGGAAGAAACAGACTGAAGTAGTTCACACTTTTTATCAACTAAACCATAGCTCTAGGCAGCATTTCTTAATATCAGTAACTTGTAAGAAACTGAGATGGCTGTGTATTTGTATGGCACAAGGGGAAATTTGGGAATAAGAGTTGGCAATCCAGTCTCTCAATGAGACCCTACAGCAAGTGAGCATTGGAACGATCAGAAAGGCTGAGGGAGATGAACCACACATCTCCTTTTAGCTTGCTGTATAAACCACCTCTTACAGAGCTCTTCAGTTTTCCAGAAGATAATTTATTTTTCATTTGTAGCATGCACCCACAATACTTTTGTTTAACAGAATTGGCATCAGTAAAAAAAAATGAAAAAAGTGGACAAAAGTAAACTCACACAAGGAAATCTTTTGTGAACAAAATTCCAGTTCATATCAGGCAGCTTTCTGACTAAACAAGCGATTGTCTTTGCAACACTAAAGCCAGCCTACTTTGGCTCTCTCAGGCCAAGAAAGAGTGGGAGACGGACCCCCCCTGCACCCAAGTCTCTTTGCAACCTCTTAACACTCACTCTTCTTTCCAACACAGCTACAAGGTTTGTGGCATTAGAAGGAAAGCTGGTCTCCAAAGTAAGTAGGACCTGTTAAAAGGATTTTAATATTAAAATGTCACCTTCAATTGCACCTTCAATTGCTGGCTGTCCCAGCAGCTAACAAAAAAMAGAAGCTGCGTTTGCTCCCCCTTGAAAGACATCCTTAAAGAAGGATGCTGATACTCACACATCATCTGAAGCTTCTGGATGATTCCCACTGACAGATCCTACACAGACCACCCTGCTACAAAAACAGTTGGGAGGTGAAGCACAAGAGACTTGTTAAAACTGTGGTCTGGGCAATGCTGGCTTTCCTCCTGCCAAGAACTCTTCACTCTGCAGCAAGCGAGTATCACCCAGTCTAGCACTGCTTTTACCCTGCAGCTTGAAAGTGGTAAAGGAAGGTTAAAGGATCTGTCATGAATGCTCTCCAGCTAATGCAGAAATACCAGATGATGAGGCACTTCAAGATATCACAATTTATCCATTCAGGTGACTGGAATTATTCCCAACAGCCCTTCTAGGTCTGTATGTTGCATAAAATATACGTAATAGTGGCATCTCCTATTCAAACCTTTAAGTAAACCCATGGCATCTTAAAGCAATTTTGTTCTTTTGTATCCCCTTTAATTTCTTCATTTCTCCCACCTCAGTTAAAACAGCAGACAGAAACCATTCTTGCTGAGAATCCCTAACCTTCCTCTTCAGATTCTCCTGTTTCTTTTGATTTCAATGACTCCACACTACCATTTCACCCTCATCTCCAATCTCAAATTTTACACCCTGACTTCACATCTTCCTGCTTCCCCTTTTCCCACTCACGGTCATGATCTCTTCTTTGCTGCTTCTTAGGCTGGGGTGTTCCCTCATCCACTCCATTACCACAAAACAATCTCAACATTTTCTTAGGCCAGACATAAGTAACCTACTTTTAGTTGTGAAATAAACTAATCATTTCTCTATCAAAAAATAYCCCCAGCAGAGAAGAATCTTGAAATTACTAGAAAATAAGCCTCTTTTTGTACGTTTTGCAACTGCTTAGACCAAAATCACAGCCCAGATTTKTGAGCCAAATGCATGAGTTCATCTCTCCATGCTGAACAGCAAACAGAATAAAGATGACAGAYGGCTGAGATGATTTAACAGATTAAGAAATTAAGAGATTCCCCAGTTAGGATTTGTGGAAACAAACATCCTTCATCACACATTGATTATGGCTCTTTGGACACAAAAAAGGATGTTATCTGCAATTATTTTATAGCCCAGGCTGAAAGTGCACTTAGCAGCTTGACAGCTACAATGAAGAAAGAATGAAGCAAGAATAGATGGTGAGCAACTACAAACAAGTTAAAAGAATGGGKTTTTTTTAAGATTAATTACCTGAATTCCTTATACTGGAGCTGTTCATTTTGGAATCTTTGATGACCAAGTGCTTAATCCAAAGGGTGGGTGCTGTGATTTCTGAAAGAATAAAAATAACAGCCTTGAAGAAACTGCAGCAACTAATAAATACACATGATTAYAGCTCTTAGAACGGTTTGGATTGGAAGGGACCTTAAAGTTCAGCTCATTCCYGCTCCCTTGCCATGGGCAGGGACACCYTCCATGAGACCAAGCTGCTCAGACCAACCTGGCTTTGAACACTCACAATGATGGGGCATCCACAGCTTCTCTGGGCAACCTGCGCCAGTGTCTCACCACTCTCACAGTAAAGAATATTTTCCTCATACCAAACCTGAACCTACTCTCTCTCAGTTTGAAGCCATTCCCCCTCGTTCTGTCACCACATGCCCTTGTAAACAGCCCCTCTCCAGCTCTCATGKAGGCTGGCTTCAGGGACCGGAAAGTGCTAGAGTTTGTCTTTCAACTCTCTCAGTCTGTCTTCATAGAAAGCAAGATGTTCATGCCTTAACTGATCTAACACCTTTGTACAAACAGGTTCATCCCCTGGCGAGTCTTCCACTTCTTATGAACCATCATTTGTAAATCTTCCACGAGGTTCTCTCATCTTCCTTTTACCGAAAGTATATCTCTGCTGGCAAAACACTTTTTTTCCTCCCTCTACCCTCTATTTCCTAAATTCCCAAGTCTGAAGCCTTTTTCCTCAAGACTCACAGATGTCAAACATTGTATTGGGTGCTATAGTATATGCTGTTTCCCACAAAAGTACATATGAAATTCAGATTTTAGAAAGTCAATCCAGACCTTAAATATTGCTTTAACAGCCCAAGAAGGTCTGGCCATAGTCAGTTCCCTAAAACAAGCAACAACGCAATCTGAAAAAAATAGGCAGAGACATGAAGATATTTCTGGAAAGACTTGAAAGGAAGTCTACTAAAGAAATAGGTTCTGGTTAGAAAAGCATGTCTGATGCACTAACCAAGACATCCAAACACAAATTTGTGGAAAAAAAAAGTGCTTAGAGCACCTCCTCTGAGGTGTTTTAATCAACTTCAAAACATATCTGAACCTGCCCTAAGCCACAGAAATGACAAACCTCAGCATTTGATTAGAACTGAGTAAAGCAGTACTTGCTACCATGGGCTAGAGCACCTCAAGTGACATTTTCTGAAAAAAAAGAAAAAAAAAAATTCAGCTTCCACAGGAACACAACTTAAATAGTACATCCTGAGGTTTTACTTCAATTCCTCCAAGAACTTTTCACATGAGTTTTCCTGCTCCCTTGTGGACACTCAAGTGGATTTGCTCAGCTGAGGGAGAAGCTGGTTGACTAAAAAGAAACTGATTATAAATCACAAGAGCATAAAAAAATTGAAAAGTAATTTCTCCTTCCTAAATGTTTTCAGCCATATTGATTGTAGGCACTATAGTAATCATGTTTAGGACATTTTTGTCACAAGGCTGAACACTGTTAAACAAACAAACTATGCTGTAATATCAAAAACTGCCTCATCTGCCAGTTTCACTATGCTGTTCTATCAACATTCAGCCATGATGTGCTTCTACAAATACATATACCTACATGCTTTGGCTTATGGACTATTTCTAGTTTTGTGCTTCTGCTCTTCCTAGCTCTTACCCAATGTGCAATTTGAGGTAGCTCTCCCAAAAAGGGGCTTAATCTCCTAAATCTGGGATGAAATTTAGCTCTGACAGTGCACCATATGAGCCAGGTATGTCTAGAGCTGAAAAAGGAGGGACAATGAGAGTCAACAGATGCTTAAGAATGGATGAAGACCTTTAGAAATACAATGGTGCACATCTTTCAGTGAGGCTGAAAGGTGCACAAAGAAGAATTCTGGCAGGGGGGAAAGAAGGAGAAAGGAAAAATAAATGAATTCCTTGGAATCTACCATAAAAATGTATTTTCAAGCCAGTTAACCTGGACATTTTATTACAGGCAAGTAGCACAGACACCTCTGAGTAACAGATCAGTGGGGAGTGTACATTCCCAGTGAATTAAGAGGCAAAGTTTACCAAAAAGAAGAGATGTTTAAAGAAGATATCTTTAGGAAATTATTACACCTTGAATGTGGGAACTAAATAGATGGTGAAAAAAAAAAATAACAGAGCCTAGAAGTGCAGGAGGGAATACARTTTTTTAAAACTATAGCAAGGACATTAATAAAACACTCTTCAGCAGAGGAGAATAGTGTCCTAAGAAACGATTCACTTACTACATATCTAAGATCTACATTATAATAATATGAAATAATTTTTAGAGGGATGGCTGTGTTATGATTCAAACTTTGGATGGGAGAGTTTAAGTTATCTGATTCACATTATCTCTGGCACTGCTCTGTTATGCCCTCAGGGAGGATGGTAGGGAGTGGGAGGGGAACTTATGCATGAAATGTGAATTCTCATTATCCTCTAATTTAGGTGAAAACATGAGAAAGGTGAACCTTCATCTGAGAGATGCTGAAGCCCACGAGGTATCATACACTTTGGGGCAGCTGAGTGTATGTAAGGCTCTTTGAAAAAAAGTCAGTTCCCTGCATATGGAAGGTAGACAACCATAGGCAAAACATGAAAAAAATTCTACATTGTTATTGTCTGATCATGTTGATACAGCTTCACCCTGGCTACCTGACTTTGAATAGACAGGTTTACAGAAACCCATCAGTTCTCAATTTCCAGTGAAGTGGAATGGGATCTGAACTTTAACCTCTTTGAATATCCACAAAGATTTCAGACCTGACAGGTGAATGGATAACTGTTTTGCCCTTTTCGGTCATATGAGTCAGACATCAAGTACAAGCCATTCCTCAGGAAGACCTACCCAAGACACTGGGAGAGTTTTCTAGTGAAGTATGACAAGATGTTTGCTCAGATAGAATCAAGGGATTGTTCAGGATGACATCCTGAGGTGTCTAGCCTAACCTTCTCCTCCAGCCAGGGTCAGCTACAAGAACAGACCAGGTTCCTCAGGACTTCAAAATCACAGAATATACTGAGCTGGAAGAAACCCACAAGAATCACTGACATCCAACTCCTGGTGCTGTGCAGGACACCCCAAGAATCACACTATTAAYTGTTTATTGTTACAGCCACCACTGAAATCTATTCAGTCCTATTTTATTAACAGAGATGACAAAATAGAGAGTGACAAACTTAGAAGAGGTTATTCATTGATGCATAGCTGGATTAACCTGCCTGTCAGTCTCTTCTCTGGAGTCATAAGGGACACTGCTAATACAACAGGAAGCCATTGCATTAGTTATTCTCTCTCAAAGTCTAGGAGATAAGGTCTTACATAATATACGGCAAAGTTTGCAAGAGGCAATCTTTCATCATGCTGTCCAAGCCCATTTATCAAACTTGAGTTCAGCTACAAATTGATGTGAAGGTTTTTGATTGAAAATGTTTTTCATGGAAGAYAGCGTAACACTTTTTTTCAGATTCTGCCTGCCACCAGAAGAACCAGAAAAGGTGCGTTCACTACAACACTTCAAGAACGTTGCCCAGGTCTACTTGAATGACCAAAACATGGCACCTCTCCTAGAAGGAGCTTCTGAACAGGCTCTATTAATGACATCATCTCATTCCTGCATTCTACTAGTACATTCTTTCCTTTGAATATCTATGAGTGCCCTCTCAGGGGAAAATGTAAAGGTTAGAAGTTTGTGATTGCCAACAATAATTTAATACAATATCAGCTTACTGTGAGGAGGAGCTTTCTTTTGCTATAAACAAGCAAGAGCCAGCATGGTTTGTCTACTTTGTTTATTTGAGATTGTTTTTTTACTGAGAGCTTTGCTGTTCCTTAAAGCTCACAAGATTCCTACAAATCTACGATCACTAAATATGAAGTGATAGGACTACAGCATCTTGCCATTAAATAAGCTTATTTGAGCAAMAATAAAACCCCATCACAGCACCTGTTTTTACAACAAGGCAGGAAATATCAACAGAAGAGTACCTCCTACTCTTGCTCAATAGTTTCCATTTTTGCCTTTGATCCAGCTTGAAAAAAACATTAAGTACAGCAGCCCCTTAAGAAAATGCATAGGCTTTCCCTCACTGCCTTATGTTCCACAGTTTCAGATGGATCACAGAGCAATTCATACGTCAGCCCATAGCTTTACTATAATTGTTGTGGATTAAACCTGTAGAAAATATGCACTACTTCTAAGCAATGTGAAAGATAAAGCAGCTGCTATTAGGCCCATTCACTACCAAAGGACCACTATTCCCACCGGTATTTATATTTGTATGTGTAAAAGGCTTGAACCCTCTGTGATGACAGCCATTTTATCCTTGTTTAAAGGCTTCCAATAGACTAAGGTMCGATATTCCCTTTTCAAAATAATACAATTGCAAGATTGCCTATTTGAGAAGGAAACTGCCTGGGTGGGCCATGAATTAAGTAGGCCCAAGACAATGACTTCATTTGCTTAAATAGTGTGTGCGTCAATGAAAGCATTTGCTAAATAAAAAAACCTCCCAGCAATTTTCTTCCAAGTCAACATTCACAAGCTGTGGTTTAGCATTACCCTTCCTTTTGTGAAGCAGCAACACACTGCAGAGGTTATGAAACTCCCAGCATTATATCATGAGAGTGGAGATAGTAGGGGGGTAAGGACAGTCTAAAGGAAGCAGCCACTTCTAATTTGATGCACCTTCTTTTTACTGGCTGTGACATTTTTTCCTCCAAGATTACACCAGGAATCTGATCAACTGGTTTTAGTATTTGAAATATTTGAAATTTCCAAATTCCAATATTTGGAATATTGTTGGATTCCAAAAAAGTGGGAAGGATGTAAAAGGATTAGGGAGAACGCCTGAAGTCCCAAGGGCACTCTAAAATTTGGGTAACTTATGAGATTCACTGGCTTGTCTGCTTTGCAGGATAAAGAAGGCATTTGAACCACAAGTCCTAAAGAAGAGGGAGAGGGAAGTGGCTTTTTGTTGTTATTTTAAGGGATGTTCTTACCTTCTCCATCGAAAATAGGCTGTGTTTCCATGGTAGGCGTTGGCTTCGAACCATCATCTGAATTCAGGGTTAAAAAGAATCGAAAAGAAACTACCATTATTGAGGTAAATACTATCTACTCTCCAGCACTGTTGAATGATTGGGATTTGTACATGGCCCGGCCAAGTCCGGAAGAGAGAGAAGACAGACAGAACAACATAATTTTATGCTAAAAGCAATAACATTTTTCATAAAACATGCATCAAGCCCTTTCAATACACTTAAAAAGCCTCCCCCCTCCCTCCACAAACCACTGGTGTGTGTCACCTGGTAGTCTCCCCAAAAGGCAATTAACTGCCTTTTTAGTTTCAGGTAAGTTTAGTTTTATACAGGCCATTTCCTAAGACAGCAAATGTTCCAGAGAGTGCTGTCGCATTGTGTCTTTCTCCTCATTCTTTTTGTTCAAAAGAAACAGTATTCTTTTGAAACTTACCTGTGTAGAACATGGCACCAGCACTTACTGCAGAGCTGTTAGAAAGGGATGGTCAACAGGAAATTTTTTTCTTAYAATGACTGCATCAAGAGGTTCTCTAATTGCAATGCAATGGCAATGTCTTCTAATGGCAAAAGTGTGGAAAAATAATTTCTCTGACATTAAGTTATGGTTTAGTTGAGTTTGTTTTGCCCATTACAGTATTTGGTGAGTGATCTCTCTTGGACTTTATTTCAAGTCACAAACCTGTGATATATTTTCTCCCCAGTCCGGTTCCAGAGCAGAGTGATAGAGAGCTTTCTGGGCGTCTAGCATCTAGCCAGGATCAACCCACTACACCTAGAACTGGGTGGTTTTTCCCCCTTTTTGAAATACAGTGACTTAAAACTGTCAATTTCTAGTAATCTTATCTATCCTTTGCATGTGTTATGGGCAAGAATGACATTAGGAAGCAAAGTAGGCAGTAACCTAAAATGTAAAGTTACACAGTGAAAATCTGTTGGATGAAGGAGTCCATGCCAGAAAAGCCAGGCTTGTCTCTATCTGCGTGAGTATCAGATGCAGAGGGCAAACACTGTTTGGAGGAAAGGTACATGGGACAGGCCTTCCTAGAGGTAGAATTATCTGCACTTAACCTTCTCTTATATCAGTTCCATTAACAAAAGTACAAGGCCATGGGAGTGGAAGGGAAGGGCAGAGATGGAAAATGGAAGCTTGTAGACTTTTTCCACCCACATTTATATTTGCAGTTTTATAAAGTGAGGAAAAGCTTGAATACCTCTTCCACAGTTCATCAATTTTATGCATTTACACACAAAGCAGTGTAATTCACAGAAAGCAAAAACATGCTGATAATTCCATTTCAACCTCAGAGATCCACCAGAGTAAAGCATGTTGACAGAAATGAGCGAGAGACACCCTGTTGCCATTTTCCCTCTTCATCATTGTATTTGGTTTTATGCATCCCAAAAAAACACTTGGAAGAAAAAATACTTACCATTCCTCAGCTCTTGTTCTGAGCTTTCCTGTTATTAGGCATTACCAGTAACATGGATAAGCAGTATTTGTTTTTTATAAAGTTTGAACAACTGACTTGGAAAAAAATCCTTAATATTGCTTAAATTAAAAGGAGGAAGGTATTGCCCTTTAAAAACTCTTTGGATAGAAGTAAATAACTGATCTTCACTTTTTATGTTAAAACAGGTTGCTATGCTTCTGCAAGGTTCCAGGAGCCACAGCTATGGCTTGTTATTTATTTAGGACGGCACTTTACACTTTACACTATTCACTGTGAAGCAGTGAATAGTACATAATTAGCATGATTGGCTTTACAGATTGAGAAACCAACCCAAAACTGCTGAAGACACTCAGAACTAGAAAGGTGAGTAATTCTTAAGTTATACAAAAAGGAAGAGATCTGCTCTTAAAAAAGAAGACCAATACAATACTTCTTATTGTAATACTTCTTTCTTCTTATTGTTCTCAYGAATGCTTCTGCACCAAGTAATTACAGAATTGCTTTTCAGATTTAAAGCAGCAACCCAGAAGACAACAGTGGGGAAAAATTAGAAGTGGATCTGAGCCACAGCACTTTATCCAAATCATTATTTAAACTTTGGCAGAACACAGGATATTTCAAGTTCAGAGGGGTTCTTTCACATTCATGTATGTGCAAGAAACACAGCAGCAATTACAATTTGTCAAATACATTTTCCTTAAAGAAAAAAAATTTGCAGCAGTTTTTGTATGAAGTTAGCCATTAAGCTACTGGAGAGTATTAAATAAACCCCTCAGTTCAAAGCTACTGTTTAAGATAATGTCAGTAAAATGGCTCAATGAATTATACAATCATTTCCTTACTGGATTACTGAGGCCAAATTGTCACTAAGTCAACAATGTAGCAGCACCCAGTACAGTATTAAGGGCTCTGCAAATAGAGAGAAGTGTAATTACTCCCCTGTAGTTCAAGTAAGTACAGTTCTTTCATCACACACACAAGAAAAAAAATGCAGCAGACAAGAGCCCTGTAATTTCATTCACCATATTTCAAAAATCAAAAGCCAGGGATATTTCTGATTATTTTTAAAGGTCATGAAATAGTCACATAAAAGACAAAAATTGCACTTCATTAAAAACACCACGCTCACTTCCCAGCTTCTGGCTTCTTACTCTGAAACTACCTATTTTTTTTCTTAAACTGGAGAATTCTCAGTAAGTCTCAGTGTTTCAAATTGGCTTATGGCAGAAAGTTTCACTGCTGTTCCCTTTCAGCAGAAAACCCACCCTCATACTTGTCTGCTCTTATTTGATTTTTCCTCTCACTCAATACTCCATTTGTCACACTGAACATTTGTTCCACTGGCCTGTTTGTTCCTCACAAACAAAGAATAAGCTCTATTTTACATAACTGAAAGTTTTGAACGTTTTGTATTCCTAAATAAATATTTCAATGTAGAACAAAATCCCAAACTATTCCAGAGGGGTAAGACATTATATAAGTACAGAATACTGTTACTTTGGGTACAAAGGTGATGAAGAATGTTCACTGGGTACAATCTCTTCCTTTCTTCAAAGAGCTGTGAAATTCCACACTTTCAAAAGAGGCATGTAACTGCAATAGTTCCTTACACACAGCATGTCACAGAGAGATTAAAGAGATCAAGTGCTACTTCCTAATCCCTCTAGATAGCAATGCTTCCAGATCAGGAACTCATGTAATTCAGGACCACTACTCTTAGCTGCAGAGTATTTTCAGTGCCTTGAGGAAGAGTTCACTGGCATACTTCTCTACCAATTCTTGCAACCCAGCATGAATACCCACTTTCTTTTTCCAAGAGCACTGACTACAGACAGTATCACTCAACAGAATACCTCCTCATGGGACATTTTAAAGCTACAGAACTCCTTCAGTAAATCTCTTTTTCCTAAGGTACATTTGCAAAAGTTAAGCAGCTCAACTGCTGTCAACTTTAAAATAGTATTTTTATCTTGACACAGGGTAAGAGTGAAACCGGCAGGTCTAAAAGAGACTCCCTAAGCCTTTTTCACATAAATATACCTTGACTATAAACCAGAAGCCCACCTGCTCACTACTGTCAGAAGCTCATAAGCAAGAACAGTTTTAATTGCATTCAACTGACAATGACTCAAAACAGGGACAATTACTTGCATGTCCAGATCTACTGTTAGTGCTGGGAAAGAAGTCTTTATGCTCTCACTAGAATTCCCCTCCCCATATCTTATCCTTGCAAAGTACCTAGCAAGCATCTGGAATTACTGTAGTGCACACTGGGGTTGAGGGAGAAGAAGATCCAGCTCATGCAAAAGACAACTGTTAAAGTGATCTTTCTACTCTGAATGACAAGCACTGCAGCCATGAGCAAGTCATAAAAAAACATTAATTACTAGGAAAAATGTGAAGTAACTGCCTCTTGCTGTGAATTATCATTTTTGACTCAAGCCAACTAATGGACATTGCAGATAGGGGAAAAGTTAGGAGATAAAAGTGGTGTACCAAAGGCTGATGTTGCTGAGGAAGCACACAGGTCTTGGTCTGCTAATGTGATGATGCAAGTATACAGATGACTTGTGCAGTGAGTATACTTTTTCCTGGGTAGGATATGAGATACAGGAGGCAAATGTTGTGTTCTCACCGGAATCCTTGAGACAATCTGTAAACATTTCTTCCATTTTGAAGACCACAGGGACTTATGGAGTCAACCATCCAGGCTTTATACAAAATCTAGCGTTTTTTGTAAGTCTATAGCTTGAACAACAATGGTTCCCAGACTTGAATGAACCTGACAGAATAAGCAGATGACAATTTTAAGTGCATAGCGCTCTTCTGGGAGGAGGCAGCCTTCTTCCAGCATCAAGTAGTTCCTTCACTTACCATCATCTGGTTTTGGCTGAGTCATTAGAGAGCATAGCTGAAGCTAAATACGCAACTTAGAGCACAGAGAGCCAGGACAGTAAGTGAGCCCTCAGCGTGTCTGGTTTGATGCAGCAAAGTCCACCTTTAGCAAATCTGTCAAGCCAACAGCAAGGGAGAAGAGCTTTCCTAGGCTTCAGTACTCCTGAGGGATTTAAGTCATACATACTCAATCCTGCAGCTTTAGTAACCCTGGCCAGACGAATAAAGACCTGCCAGGCCAATTAGGCTCCTTGTATCCATGCAGCTCCTGAATCTTGAAGAAGCAGTTTTGACTTTGACATTTTATGTATTACCCCCAGGTCTGAGGGTGTTTTAAATGTTAAAAAAAAAAATTAAAAAAAAAAAAAAGCTCAAAACAAACACACAAAAAAAGTTAAAAAAAACCCCACAAACAAAAAAACAACTTACTTTGCGCTACATGGGGCTTAAACAAAAATACATGTCCCTTCTAGTATTGTAGAGGAGGAACAAATTGTTGCCTTAACCACAATCCTACATTAAATGAAACAATTTCAGCAAGTCATAATTAATTTAATCGTCCATGCAACTTTTATGTACAGACATTTATTGCCAATATAAGTGCAGAAAGTTAGCATCCATGCAAAAAAATAATCTTATAATCTGGCCAATGAAGATAATTTTTTGCAAGCAGCTGAAATGGAAACACACCAGTGCAGATAGACT